CTTCAAATGGCGGTGGGGGCTGCAGGGTGTGTGTGGGAGTCCTGAAGGCTTCCAGGCCTTCGGGACCCCCCTACCCTGCCCCCGCCGCCGCTGAGAGCCTTCCAAGCTCTCAAAGGGCTTTCTCCAATGTCGGAGGGGGACCCTTTGAGAGCTGGGAAGGCAAATGTTGGCGGTGGCTTCGGGGTCCTTCCGAGGCCACCGCCGGCATTTTCCCCCAGCTGAGCGGCGGGAGCGGTCCTTAGAAGGCTTCTGCCGCTCAGCTGAGGGAAAATGGGGCCTATGGGGAAAAATCGCAAAGCTATCGCAAAAAAGCCATCGGTATGCGGATTCGTCATTAAACGCGGTGCTCGTTATATGAGGCACCACTGTATATTGGTTGCAAGCCTATGGCAACTAGCTATGCTGTACTTGCAGCCAAAACTATGCTCACAACCTGGGGTTCGTGAGCACAGCAGCTCAAGGTCGACTCAGCCTTCTATCCTTCCGAGGTCGGTAAAATGAGTACCCAGCTTGCATAATTAACTTGTAAACCGCCCAGAGAGTGCTTGAAGCACTATGGGGCGGTATATAAGCAGCACACTTTGCTTTGCTTTTAAACACTATAAGTCTGTTTTCAATTGCCACTGTAAACAATGAATTAATGACAGTTTGAGATAAGAGAGACACTGGCCAAAACCCTGCTAGGACTTCACTCATGCACAAGAATACTCCCGTCAGTTGCCATGGATAACTGATGAGGATAGAGAGGACCAACCCAGCTTCACAGGGGAGGGCATTCCATAACCATTGAGAAGGCCTGATTTCAGAGTTTCCCCAAGCCAGCAGCCAAAGGCCACTTTCCAGGTAGAGGGTTCACTTTCTGGGTGTATAACGTGGATGTCTGAAACCCAAACTTCACCAAACTTGGAGGCATTGTACAGGAGAGTTTGGAGAAGCTTCACTATGATTGTGGTGTGTCTAGGTGCTGGAAGGGAACTTTTCTAGCAGGGCCTCTTTGTGGGTGTATAACATGGATGTCTGAAACCCAAACTTGAAGAAATTGTAGAGGACAATTGGGGGAGCTTCCCCATGAATTTGGTGCCTCTAGGTGCTGGGGGCGCATTCTACAGGGTTTAAAAGTACTGTAAAAAACAAATTGACAAATAGATTCATTTCATCAGAAAAAAATCCTAAATTTGTAATTCATGATTTATTGACCTAGACAAATCACAAATCAAAACAAATCACAATTTTTCTGAGTTGTGCCCATCTCTAGGTGTAACTAAGACATGTGCCACTGTAGCTGAATGCCTATTCCCAGATCGGCCTTTCAACTGATCAGATGCCCCTCTGTCCTGTCTCAATGATGTTTCAATCTGTTTGCCCCCATCCAGTCTATCACTGACCCCAGAAACCAATAAAAAACTTAAAGAGCTTCCTTGGGTTTAAATGGAAAAGAGATAAATTTGGGTGTCATTCACATACTGATGGCACCAAACTCCAGGCAATCTCTCTCAGGAGTCTCATGTAGACGTTGAATAGCACGAGGGACAAAACAGAACCCTGTGGACCACACAAGTCAATGGCCAATGCGTTGACTAGGAGTCACCCAGCACCACATTCTGAGATTGCTCCTTCAAGAAGGAGCAAAACAGTGCTTCCAAGTTCCATTATAGAGAGACAGTTCAGAAAGACACCATGGTTGATGATAAGGTAAAGCTGCTGAAAGGTCCAGCAGAACCAACAGAGACAACACTCCTCCTGTCTAATCAGCAATGTTGATTTAAAAAAAACAACCCTATGTTTAAAAGTCAGAAAGCCACTGATTATCCTTTGGATGTCTCTGCTTTTAATTCTAATCTGCAGGCTTGCATTGCCCAACCTACATTCTCCAGTTCTCTCATCTATTTACTTTCCCTGCATCTGGTCTGGCTTACTCCCATTTCACTTATGAATTATTAACATTTTAAAAAGATATTACATACATGATTTGCTCAGGAAACTTTCAGGACACATTAAACTGCCATAGTTTCACAGAACTACAAGTCACAGAAGGAGGAGGGGACACTTACAATATGTCTAACTTCAGCATTAAACAAAAAAGAAACAAAGGAATGGCCCAAAAGTTTGACTTTGAATCAAAATCTGGGTATTCAGAACACCCAGATCTTGAGACATGCCGTCTGAAAATTAATCCATTAGTGTTCAAACTTCAGAAACTGAAATATCAATCCATTATTGTTAATATAAAAAT